TCTTCATCCACGCAGCAAGTACAATCACACCAAGGGAAGCCAGTTGTGTTTGATAGTTAAAGACTTTGTCGTGATGTTTACAGATAATACTGCTCCACAAGCTTTGGCCCCACTCCTTTTGTTTATGCTGTCCATTAAATTTTCTAATTTGCCACTTTCTCCTGCCTGCTGTTTTTAACATCACATGATCCAAGAAAATCAGAAAAAAAAACATTGTGACTGCTGTGCCACAGTAACAATATCACATTTGCTGCTGCAACCAGAGATGCTTTGATTCCAWCTGAAAAGGGACACACAGATTTCTGTTTATCCTCTTGTTTAGTCTGTCGTCTGCACAGTATCCTGCCTCCCACTTCAATCCGAAATCACTTTCAGGTATACTAAGCACTGAAAAGACAAAGGGAATTGTCATCATCCCATGATGTGAATTGGTGGTGGGGGATATATTCAAATTAACTCATCATATCATCTTRTTACCACTGTCATAGTATAAAAATAAGCACCTCGGCAAATGTTTATTTGGTCAATATTAAAGGTTGTTCCCTCCTTTCATCACATGTTGTGGAGAACAGTTTGATGTGGAGACAACAAGRCTTAGATTCTACTGCCAGGATCTTAAAGTGACATTCATATTCAAATACAAAAGTTCAAAGAAAACATATTTATCTGTAAGATTTTTTTTCCATAATACACAGGATTTTACCATTTTGTCACAAACTAGCACATTTTCTTTTTATTTTGGCTGCAAAAGTGAAACAGGAAGTGAGATCAAAGTGGAACTCTTAAAGAATGAAAACTCCCTGGTCTTTGTTTATTGAAACAATATTATTTAAACTCTGACTCTTCTTATCTCTCAGTGGCTCAAAATAATCTAAAGAAACAGATTATTTACAATTTTCTTTGTTGTTACCTGTTGTAGCAACGCTCAGTTTGCATGCAGACATTCCCCTTTGACATCACTTCCTGTTACTTCACATGCAAATATCTCACCTGTTCGTCTCAGCTCTGTAAATTGTTTTAGTAATTTGTTAATATTATCTTTCCAAAAATGTGTTCATACTTTTTTACAAACATTTGATGTCACAGGCACTTTAACAGATCAGCAATTTCTCATCTGTGACGTGGTTTGTTCCTATCCTCACAGTTTTATATTGCATCATGAGGTTGGCACTGCTTTCATACAAAAATCACCTGTATAAAAAGCTTGTACATTTGGAATGTTTCTAAAATCTGTTGTTGTTCAGCAGGTGGTTTAATCAAAAACAATCTGTCAATTTTTAATTTGTAAGAACATCTTTTTAAAAGTGTTTTACACAAGTGTACARCTATATTTGTGGTTCAGGAGCATGCTTTTTATGTTATCTTTATTTTAATCATTTTATATAAATTTTTTTAGCGGAGTCTATCAAATGCTCAAACATGTAATTATACTGAATTTTTCATTGTGTTTTTATGTTATTTTATCTTTTTTTCCATTATTTGAAATGCAATTATTTCCTGCCACATTGTCAGCAGCTTTTAGAAAAAAAAGTCTCAATTTCCTATGTAACCTAAGGCACCATTGGAGGAACACTGAAACACTGGTATTATTTGTCCATAAATCAAAATGAAAATTACCCCATTTTGCACATTGCTGAATAGAAAGTTGACATGTTCACATTAAAGTGGTTGATTTGGTATTGTGAGCTCCGCTGTATGTTTCACCTAACATTTTCTTTGAGGGAAGCTGGGCAACGCTTAATAAAATATGTTCTCTCTTTATCTGATTTTATTTTAGGAGTGAGGAATGTGCCAACAGCTACTATTGCTGAGCCCATATCAATAAAAATGTTAAGTTGGAATCCTGTCTTTCAAATAGCCTTTTGTTTTTCTTGTTCTCCCTCATGTCGCTCATACATCACAGGACCTACAGCAGCTATTTTCTTCTAAAACACAGTGTGTCTTTGGAGAGACACAAGTGGGTTTTCCTCACTGTCATTATTATAATGCACCCTCCACCCCCTGTCCTCTATTTGTCTGTTGATCCACTTGGATTTGTTTCAGAGGAGGCGATCGTTACCATGCTTGGTTTCCAGAAAAGTGCTGTATTATTTTTGTTGTAATTTTTTAATGATATCCTAAAGGAACAGGTGCCAGATTTTGAAGACCTGTTTTTATTAGGACAAAGACGTGTAATGATGCGTGTTGTGTTTCTAAAAGCATTCATAAACCTATCAAAATGTACCATGGCAGTCTATAAAAGTTACATTTGTCTGGTGGAAACAATTCAGCTGCTGTATTTTTGTCAGTGTGTCTCAATGGTGAGCAGTTCCCCTATAAACAATGGTCTGTTCTGAAGTCCCATGGCTTCACTCTGATCCTGTTAACAGCTCCCCTGAAACACCGTTGCAGTTTGACTGAGCCACTATTTCTTGGCTACTGTAGTTACTATAATCAGTGTTTCAGCCAAACCATTACTCAGTACTATCACTTGGGCCTCAAGCAACTATAATGCTACTATCAGAAGCCACAGTGCCTGACAAAGACCTCCCTGTGGCTCCATGTGGATGTAATTGTCTCTTCTCTTGCATCCTCTGCCCACCTCTCAGACCGCTCACATTCCCCCTTCACCGTTAGTGAAGCTAAGATCATAGTGGCAAGAGCATGTGGATCTCAGAGGCCCTATCAGTGAAGAAACAGACTATGTGWTAGTGCGTTTTGTTCAGTGTCATTCCCAGGAGTGAGTTCTACGGAAATTGAGGAGGACGGGCTGGGATTGTCCTAGTCTGCCTACCCAAGCAGCTAGTTGTAAAGTCCAATAATGACCGAGAGCTCACCCCTGACTTACACTATGTTGCTGCTAGACTGGAGGTGGCAGGCACTTTGTGTGCATTTGTGTATGGTTTGTARGTTTGTATTTAAATAGTTAGTCTTTTTTTGTTTTGTTTTATTTTAGAAATTATAGTAAAGACAAAAAAAAAAAAACATCCTGTCCACATTCATCAAAAACAAGTCAGAGATAAAACTATTACCTCCATGAAATTATTGTCTTTTTTTCAGCCACTTCAGTAGAAAACAGAACTTAATATTTGTTTCTTCATCATCAGTGACTTTTTTTCTTAGAGAAGTAAATCTAGAGAAGAAAAATGAGAAATATAATGGAAAGATTGAAAGAGAGATTTGAAGATAATGTGAAACATACACCAAGAAAACACAAGACAACACACCCAATATCTGTCTGAACACCTGCAAAAGCAGAGAAAACAAAAACACAGCAACAAAATACATGTGTATATAATAATAACAATTATAACCTTGCTGAAAAGTATACATACATTCATATATACATGAAATAATTGTCATTATAAATTTTATTATTGCACTAACAAAGAAAAATCAAAAGAAGGATAAAAAAACAGCTATAAAAACACACAAAAATCAGTTAATCTGTTTTTGTCCTTGTTGAAATGTAACCA